ACATGTGGATAGAGGCGCCGCCGGCCGTGTCCGTGATCCGTTAATGTCACAATCGAACCAAAACCATCTCCCAAAACGACAACAGGAAACGACGGGCCGGCCGGGAAAAAAGAATCGATGGTGAACTCAAAGTTGGCCGCCGATCAGATATAGATACCCGTGACTACACATAGCTAGCGACGCGTTATAAGGTGTTAGTTTATGCATTCGGTTATAATCAAATCTTTTGTTCGATAACGAATAAAAAGATTTGGCGGTAATCACGGTTGGTTAATTTTGTCCAAAAGTCTTCGGCCATTGTTTTAGTCCTCAAATCAATGATGCTGCATTGAACTAAGAATGGATTGCAATGTTAAAGAACGTGAAAGCATGTATCGAATTTAAATCTTTGCTCCTTAACCAATTAAGTCGATACGGGTGCTACCGAGAGTCAATTCCAAGTGATTTAACTGCGAAAAAAACTGCTTTAGCCTGTGAAAATTCAACATGTCATTATCAACGTTCAAGTAGAATGATACGATGGATGATGTCATCGGGTAACGTTGATGTCTAGTCTGCGCCACCGACCAACTGCTAGTGATTCTGTTTTGGTTTGTTCTTACCCCATAACCCTCGTTCTCAGGCAACGAAACTAGTAAAATCTTAAGACATAAGTGGGTTCAAACTTTTCAGATTCAATGTAATTACACTCCGCTCTAAATTACGGAATTGAAAGTATTTTCAAATCCTCGGAAAAGGAAGATCTCCTGATCTCACAAGGACTCTATACATTCGTCCTTGCCCTTGCCGTAGCAGTTCAAAAGGTAGAGCAAGTACATCATCTCTTTCCGTGTTTTGGAGATTCGTCGTGAAATCGTTCTAATACGCTTGCATATTACTTTACACTAACAACAAAGGATTTCTTCACTTTACTTGTGCCACACACAATACTACTACAATTGGTAAGCTATGCAAATGTCTCAAAGACAGATGTTGCTATGTACCTTCTTTTTTTCTTTTCTTTTTTCTCTTCTGATCTGGGTTTCCAGGGAACTTAGCTAGGCCACGAAATGGAACTGAGCGTTTTAACACTCGATATACTAAATATACATATACAGATATATGCAGCGGGTATGGGTACCGGTATTGGCAAGTTAGGATGCAGGCCGTTGTATGGTATAATCTCTGAACAGAGATAGCCCCCATCCTTTCCAATTTGGGAGCAGCCCCTTACTTGCCTAGTCAATCTCTCATCTAGCCGGCATCAGTCTCGACTTGAATACTAGGAACCCTTCTTAGCTTGTTCTTCCTTCCTCCTCATCCTCTATTCCTGCTCAGAAGGTTCTAATGTCAAAGCCAAACCCTGGTTTAGGAAGGGGGGGAAACGCTATCTTTCTGTTTAACTAGAATATACCTCGTGGTCGTGGTGGGTGACTGGTGCAGAACCGGAACTGGAACTGCCTTCAACTGGTACCTCTGCTATTCTAGCTTCTGATTTTTCGTTCGAATACCTGTTAGAAGATAGAAGCAGGAACATGATGAATCAGAGATCAAACAAGTTCCGGTGCGCATCAACTAGTAAACATGATTGATTTAAGTGGAGGAATTGATGACCATATTGAAAACATAATAGGGTGACCGAACTAAATGATCCTTTCCCAAGGAAAAGGACAGGAGCGACGGGAAAGGAATGAAATTTTGCTTGTAAGTTCTGCAGGAAATGGACAAAATGCCAAACGGACAAACAGTTTGGCTATGTGAGCTGGTGTCTACCAAGAGAAGACCCATCACTAATCGTATCCATATAAGCGGGAAACGCCACAGACCACAGAAAAAGGTCGAACAGAAAAGTTGCAGATTCTAAACCAATCCACTAGGTGAATGATACTCTGCCAACAATTTAAAATAACAAATAATAGATACAATTTCCTGAGAATCAGAAATTTTAGGGTCAATGGCCAACTACAGACAACGACCTTCCTTAAGTTGTGATCAAACGAGTCAAATATCCGAGTTGGGAAATGGTCAACGTCAGTGGCAAATGCAGAGCAGAACAGTCCAAAGAAACAACGAGAGTATAACTTACGTGGAGAGGATTGTCACCCAAATGAGCTCCACACAATCCACCCACAGAAGCCTTTGCTCAACCGGGATTACACCATAGGTTATAACATGAGCAAATGGCCACAGCTTCCAACCTGCCTGTCAAACACAAACCACCAAATATAATAGAACTCAGAATTAGACAAGTTGTGAACGAGAAGAGAAACTAGGTCCAAAACCAAGTTCCCGATTTCATTCGTGGGTTCTTAAGTAATGAACAACGCCACTTGGAAATAAACTCAAAGATTGTTTTTGCAATGCAGGATGAGTGCAGATGGAAGAGCAAAACGTAATCGTCTTACTGTAAGCATGGGAAAAAAGGTAGCCCTCAATTCATCCAAAATGGCGAGAGGAGACTCCAGCCTCAAGAATCCCAGTACAGTAAAATAGATGCTATTCCAAACTGCAGACCAGGCCGTTTGGTCAAAGGCTACTTTGACAGGAACAGCCCACCAGTCGTGAAATGGAAATAGCTCCTGAAGAAGAAATAAAGAAAGTGCACATAGCACACATTAAGTATCTGAATTCTACCATCCTGTTTACAGAAAAACTAAATGACAACGGGACTAATTACCTCGCAGAATTGGTAATAGTAATGTGAAAGAGAGCCATGCAACGTAAAACCAACAATGCCTGATCTGAACATGCGTGTGCGATCAAACTCAAATAGTGGTTTACCTTCAAAACACTGCAGGTGCCATAAACGATTATTACAAAGCAAAAATCATTAAGGGTATTTCCATTCATTCTTCAAAATCACATTCACTTACTTGTGCAATCCAATCTCCCAAAGAATACACCACTCCACTAATAACCATTTTTGCCAAAACTGGGTTTGTCTTTAGAGCCTCCTCATAGGCAGACCAGTTGTGCTGAGGCGCATATCTTAGTATCTCATAAAGGGTCCATCCCTGGGACAACAAAATAAAGGTAACTTTATAAAAATAATTCCACGTCGCACGAGTTCAACAACCAACAAGAAAGTAAGCCCAGAAGAACACTATGTTCATTTTTCTGTGGAACTATTTAGATGGTACATAAGGGGAACTAATAAAATGAAAACCATTTCAAATGATTGCTTGTTGACAGTAGGAACAGAACATTACAATCAAGATGCAGTACCGTAAACCTCACCTGGAATCAATTTTTAATCAGACTAAAAACAAGCTCTACAGAGTCTAGACTTCACAAGCCACCAAGTTCAAAGTTCATGACTATGCCCTGTCGCTTAAACTGAAACCCATCCAATCTTAACTTCAATTTTTTGTTGGTCACCTAACAGCAGTTATAACTTATAGAAGCTGATAATAGATGTCAATGAAATTCGACTAGCAACCTATTTTGAGATTGGATATTTGAGGACAAGATTAGAATTACTAATATCAGCATACAGGCCACCTGAAGCTGCAATCACATCTTAATTCCACAATCTTATGGTCAACTCCTGTAAATAGTATGAAGTTCCTTTGATCCTCCAGCCAAGACTTAGGCTTACAAGTACTATATTGTTTGGCTATCTCATTAGCCCATCTGGCTTTGCATCATCTAGCTCAATCTCACCTAGACATAAACACATGATGCATGTTTATACAGCTCACTCTCATGCTTATGCATAATGAGTTTTGAGACGAACAGATTGTACATTCTCTTTCTTAAATAAATAAAAACAGCTACTAAGAAATCATGATAACCACACCAGCTCATGTTGCACAAGCTATCTAGCCAAATTCTCATAGATGCATAACCCAACATGTCTCTGTCTACTTGCATGTTCTCCGGACAAACCATGTAATTTAGTACAAATTTGGACAAAGAACGCATTTTTCCATAAGCATAACAAGGTCCACGACCTTTAATATGCTCTGATATCAACCAGCTAAAATGAAAACTATGAAAATTATAGCTAGCTTCAGGTAAAAATACGACATGGCAGCAGCCAAGATAAAAGATTCAGCCGCCAAAACAAGTAAAAGCAACGAAAAAAGCTCATCAAGATAACAATCAAACAATATGCCAACCTGATAATTCACCACTAAAGAACATACATCTAAAGTGCTTCTACTCAGAATTATGCCTACAATTGAACACAGCCAGCGAAATAGAGGGACTTACATGCCAGTAATCACGATCAATTGTGAGCAACTTGGTAATAGCATAGCTGCCGGCAGCAAGAACAATCATGGCGTTAATCGTGCTATCAATCAGGCGCTCCATTTCCAGCTCCTTCTCCCTCTGATTCCCTTCCCCATCGCCACCACCACCACCACCTCCAACTACGGAGCCAGAAACGGAGGAAAAACCTTCCAGCGACAACTGACCTTCGCTCGCTCCGAACCCGCTCACCTGAGCCACCAACTCGCTGCCTTCTCTCTCCACTTGGCCCCCCACCGCCGCCATGCCTTCTTGCCGGTCCGTGCTATCCCCGCTCTGCACTGGGATGACATCTAATTCGTCCTGAACAATCGAGTTCACCACCAAGCTATCAGCTAACTGCTTGTTTCTCGAGAAAATCGGATTTCGAAGGAGCTTAATAGGGATTTGAGAAGAGGGGAGGCTCTTTGAAGTGGGAGCATTTCTGTGATTGGAGAGAGGGAGGAAGCTGTGAGGAGAAATGGCGTGGAGGGAAGCCATTGGAGGCTGGCTTCTGCAGCCTTTGAGAGTGGGAGGAACCGAGTCGAGGCGACCGAGTTGTCAATCTAACGGAATCGTTTTCCTTCTCAGTTATCTCCAAGGTTTTGAGTTTGCAAACGAGGCCACTTTTTATTTAATGGGGGCTGAGATCTGGTGTGCCGCGGCCCAATGTAAGCTATTTGACCTTGGCCCGCCCAAAAGTCGACACCTCGGACCACTACCGACAGAGAAGAAGAGATATCCGCCAGAGAGGTCTCTGTTCCTATCAACACCGGATAAAAATCATGGTGCAAATTTGAGCAAGGCCAGAATCAAACAGAACGCTGTAGACCAAGAGTTCTACACGGATGTCAAACTCACAACCTATCTTCAGGTGAAGGGATTTCTGTAAACGGAGTGGAACTCTTTGACAAATTCAGAAGAACGATTTCTCATTTTCCCCACACAGTGGTGGAATAATCAACAAATTTAGAGAGGATAGAAACTGGTGACTACTCTGGTGTTGGAATTTGTTACAAGATAAAAAAGAATGATCTACATTGTGTGTCTGGGGAATAACCAATGAGTTTGAGTAAAGTGGTCATTGGCAAATATGATTTCATCGTACCCTGTTGCAAGAGAAACAAGCTGGTCGTGGTTTCTGCTCCAAAAAGAAGCAACAGCTGGGTTCTTCAAGTTAGTTTCAGCTCTGGGTTGGTAATATAAGGCGATCTTGACCATCCACCATCTTTGCCGATCGAATCACATCGCCGGTTTTTATCTGCGAAAGAATGTCCCTCCCACTAGTTGCATATCTGCAAAGCAATGTTATAGTTGAGCACAGAAAACCTGACAGTGCAGAAGCTCACACAACAAAACATCAACAGATCCTCAGAAATTACCCGAAAACTGAGAACTGCCCTTCGTCGAAAGACAACCCTCCTAAGCCAGACTGTCATACATTAGACAAGAGACGCAGTCAAGTGATGAGTTAAAAGAGAGAAACCAGTGGCGGATCTAGGGCTGGGCCAACCCAGGCCCCGGCCCAGCCCTACTCCAGATCCAGAGTTAGTTTAGTGCTTATAAATTTTTTTGATTTATGTATTTGGCCCAATGCTATTTAAAATCCTGTCTAGTTTTATTTGATAATAGGATTTTGTGTAACTAGGGAAATGGTTCAGATGAACATATCCAAACCATTACTCTAAATTTATACTAAATTTTCTATAGCCCCAATGATTTTATTTGAAAAAAGACATGAAAACCTAAAAGTGTAAGTTTCATTAAATAAAAAAAATCTAAACTAAAGCACACCCTTTCTTGCAAAATTAAAAAAAAATTCCAATTCCCCCAAAACAAAACAAGAACGAGGAGACGAGCAGACCCAAAATGGATTTCTCCGCCAACCCGTCGAGCTGGTTTTCTTTCCATTCTTTTGATTAAGAAAATATTTACAAACTTGCTGAGTCATCATTTAGATTGTCTCAATTGAGTGGGGCACTAGATTCTAACCGTTCTTTCTGGTGTTTTGATGAACAAAATATTTACAAACTTGCTCAAGTGTTTAGCCTCGAGACTTTGAAAGCTATGAGATGCATTCTTTGGAGAATACACTACTCATGTGAGGAAGATGAAGTTTCTTCTCTTGCAAAATTATTAGAGAAGTTGGAGGAAATAGGGATGGACACATAATACAAATTGATTTGTCGGTTGATTTGTCTAGTGTTGATCTAGTTGTTTCAACAACTACCATGGAGAGAATATTTTCAGCAATGGAACATGAACATTGATTTGTGCAACAAAATGAGCGATGAATTTCTCGTTGATTACTTAGATATTTTCTTTGAAAAAGAGCATATTATCAGTATGGATGGAGATTATATTATTGACGAATTTGCTAATTAAAAGACCTTCTTGTATAATTGGCATTGTAATGAAAATTATATTATTAAATATTTTTGTTTATGGTATCTACTATTCTCTTCAAATGCGGCCCAGTGCTCTCTTATATTCTGGATCCGCCGTTGAGAGAAACTTTGAGGTGAAGATAGTTTGGATTATGCATGATACTCACATTTCTCTTGTCGTAGAGGTAGAAGAAGAACTGATATGGAGCTGAGTATTCTTCGGATACATCACTATGTGCCATTGCAACTGCTCCATACACTGACATGGGAAGAACTGGCAATTCACCGTCCTTTTTTTAAGACAACGTGAGAGTGATTAGATTGTGAAAAAGCTGAGAACTTTTTGGGCAGCTCTAAATTGGGATGATGAATATATAACATCATTGTATAGACAGTATTGTGTTACCTGGATACTTAATTTTGTACGGTACAATGGCTCGAATTGTTCTGAGGGCATTATTTCTAATGGCACACTGTAACCGGCATTCTTATCGAGTCCATCATCAGTTATGACAGCTTGGTTAATAGTGTTGAGCTTTGCTCCGTCGTATGCCCCATCCACTACCTAAGAAGATCAATGTTTACATATCGTCCATGAAAGGGAAAAGAACAACGGAATGAGAAAATTAGAAGGACCGACTCAGTTGTTGATTCAAAAGTCCTACCAAATGAATCAAAAAATGAAATGGAATGGAAATTGCATAAAGGTTAAGTGAGGTTCAACTACCTTACCAGTTTTGCGAAATTCCCTGCAGTCAGTGGTGCTGAATATCCATCTACAGTAACCTGTTTGCACATAATTTAATTTATTTTGTAGACAGTTCATTATAGTTGGAAATAGATAGGAGAGCAATAAGGTATCCAGGAAAAAACTAGACAATTATGGATGGAGGACACACTTCAGCATTGGAACTGACTAATTCAAGCAAATGTCAATATCCTTATCCAGACATCCAGCATCCGAAATTCAGTACTTAAAGCATGTAGAAGACTCAAAGTAGAAATGCATGTAAAATGACAGGGAATTTGCTTTCTCATCATTACAGATTACTTATCACACCTGAATTTTGACAGTCTTTCTTGATTCACCACCCGCTTCAGGGGAAAATGCTGAACCATCTCCTTTCTCAATGGTAAATTCAACTGTTCCTCTGCCATTTAGCCTACAGGCCAATTGATTCTTGTGAGAAGATAAAACCCAATGAAAAGGCTGTCATTAGTTCTGTACCTGTATCTATTAAGTTGCAATACAACACACCACACAGGGATAATCAGTGGAAGGGCTGACCTTGGATAATCCTTGTATTGCTCTGGCAACAAAAAAGAAAGTCCTGGAGCCTGTTACAACCCAAGGAAATCTATTCAATTATCCTTTGTACAATGTTTATGATCCCTTGAAAGGATTAGCACTGGCAGATGCAAGAAATTTAAGATATTGGTGGAGATTGGTGAACTTGACAAAAGAACATAATTTGATATCGTTGCGAGTCCATCCATGCACAAAGTAATGAAATAATATGAGCCAACCATCACTGCTTTCATGTGAAATGGATATTGGAAAGTTGCTGGATTGATAAGGAATGACCAGTGCTAAGAAGGGAGGGTACTTCCACTTACGGAAGAAACAGGAGAGGAAGTATTACATACCTGTAGCAACTCAATTTCAGCAATGGTATCAAGTGAAGATGCAAGGCTAACAGAAACTTTGTCTGGGTCCTGGTCCTTAATGTTTTTTATGAGAGCTTGCAAACCACCCTTGAAAATGGAAAAAGTTAATTTAGTATCCTTCAAAAATGAACCTCCACTGCAAAAGAAATCTTTGTCTTCAAGACAGTCACTGGTTTCGTGTTCCAATAATGAGATGAAGAGACACCAAAGCAACGTTGAGCAGTTTCCACATTTACAACCCATCTAAAGGAGCCATACCTTCCCATCAATTAGAGATGCATATAATGAGGAACCCTTGTCCCTGAACTCTTCAGGTAAACTTGCCAAAATGGAGTTCTTTTCCTCTGTTGCAATCTGAAACCATCACACCATGTTACCCAAATATTGAACATCAATGACCACACAACAATTTTCTTCAGCTGGTAATGAACTTTGAGTATGGTATATGATTATCACAACTCCGCAAAGATGGCCAAAATATATCTTTTTCTGATGGCAAATACCTTGAGGGCTTTTTTCACATTGCCTTCCATGGTTCCATATGGCTTCCGCTGTGGTATCCTTAGCAAGTATGAGAGATCCTCCAGTGAATTCTGGAACCCACAAATTGCAAGGCAATCCGTAAGCTGCTCACCCTTCCAAATCAAGAGGCATGCATAACTCAGTCGTTGAGAGAATACCTGTATGGCCTTCATGTTTGCATTGGCTGGAATCGCCTTCCTTAAAGCAAGTTCTCCTGTTCTTGGAACCTTAGTGTCAGGAGAATAAAGCACCGCATTTGCCGGTGGAGTGGGGAATGGCTCCCAGCCAAAGAAAGGCAGAGGGGAAGACAATTGAGCAAACATAAGAACCATAGCTATTAGACCCTCTAAATTCTTGTTTCTAAGTTGGGAACTCGGCATGCCTGCTTCAACGCAGAAAGGAAGCCCCTTGTCCATATCCTGCATAACTGCTGGAGGGTTATAATCTTTGCAATTGTCTCCCTAACCTAATCGGCTAATCTAGCTAAAAAGACACCAATTTTACAGTTTGGAAATGTGCAGAAACTACAAAACAATTGGAATGTGAAACCCAGATATCTGAAGCTCGAACCTGAGAAGTGGGTTTTGCAGCAGGGCTGCAGTGAACCCTGTAATCGGCAGAACGCTTGCCGGCGGCTGGAGGGCAGTGGAGGTGCGGAATTGGATTGAAGCGAAATGGGAAATTGGAGGATGAGAGCAAGTGCAGCGTCGTGCGAGCTGAAGAAGGGGAAGAGAAGAGCGAAAACCTGTGGACGCCAGAGGTCGGGATAATGGAAGGGAAAGCCATAGCCTCTGCAATTTTGGGCTCTGCCTGTGCCGAGCTGCAGATTTCGGCTTCAGTGGGAACCGATTTGTGAGGGAGCAGAGCAGAGGAAGAGAGTGGGGAAGGTTTTGGCGCGCCTCATCTCATCTATATCTTCCTTCCGTACCCGATCCTATGTGTACAAATTTCATTGGTCTATTTCTCCACTACTGACTCATTCTTCTTGAGCTTTCTGACGTGGCCTGCGAAACGTTTCCACTCTGTCATCGGTATTCAGGGTAAAGTTCAGTAAGGAACCCTGTATTTTGCTCATTTTTACAATAAAACATGGTTTCTCAATTTTCTCATACGATATCATTAATTTTGCAAATCACTTGGTTTGTTCAGATATTGGAAACAATCCACAATACATTACTCTACTAAATTACTCGTTTAACATAATTAGTCTCACACAGAGTGACTTGAACAAATCATTTTAATGGAGACAAGAAGAACAAAGTATCATAACAAATGTGTGAACTACTTTGAAAAAATAAATATTGTTTATATAGAGAAAATGTTGGTTAATCTGACATATCATGCGGAAATAGAGCCCTTCTAGTGTGCTCTATAGCACCCATGCTATAAAAACAAAAAAAAAAAGGTGACCTGTTGAGGAGGTAAACCCACTAAATGACTGGTCCCACATCATTAATGGCAATCTTGTAAATAATGAATCAATGTATACAAGTGTAGGTACAACTTAAAGTTGTACCATTAGTATAGGTACAAGTTTCAGCTGTACCATTGAAGAATTTGTTTCACAAAGTGTAGGTACAACTTAAAATTGTACCATTAGTATAGGTACAATTTTGAGTTGTACCATGAAGGGATTTATTAGAAAGTGTAGGTACAACTCAAAATTGTACCATATTATAGGTACAAGTTTGGGTTGTACCATTAAAGAATTTTGAGAAAGTGTAGGTACAACTTAAGGTTGTACCATTAGTATAGGTACAATTTTTAGTTGTACCATAAGGGATTTGTTAGAAAGTGTAGGTACAACTTAAATTTGTACCATGGTATAGGTACAATTTTGGGTTGTACCATAGAAGGATTTTTAGAAAGTGTAGGTACAACTTAAAGTTGTACCATTAGTATAGGTACAATTTTGAGTTGTACCATAAAGAGATTTATTAGAAAGTGTAGGTACAACTTAAAGTTGTACCATTAGTATAGGTACAATTTTGAGTTGTACCATAAAGAGATTTATTAGAAAGTGTAGGTACAACTTAAAGTTGTACCATTAGTATAGGTACAATTTTGAGTTGTACCATAAAGGGATTTATTAGAATGTGTAGGTACAACTTAAAATTGTACCATATTATAGGTACAAGTTTGGGTTGTACCATAGAAGGATTTTGAAAAAGTGTAGGTACAACTTAAGGTTGTACCATTAGTATAGGTACAATTTTTAGTTGTACCATAAAGGGATTTGTTAGAAAGTGTAGGTACAACTTAAGGTTGTACCATTAGTATAGGTACAATTTTGAGTTGTACCATAAAGGGATTTATTAGAATGTGTAGGTACAACTTAAAATTGTACCATATTATAGGTACAAGTTTGGGTTGTACCATAGAAGGATTTTGAAAAAGTGTAGGTACAACTTAAGGTTGTACCATTAGTATAGGTACAATTTTTAGTTGTACCATAAAGGGATTTGTTAGAAAGTGTAGGTACAACTTAAGGTTGTACCATTCGTATAGGTACAATTTTTAGTTGTACCTTAAAGGGATTTGTTAGAAAGTGTAGGTACAACATAAAGTTGTACCATAGTATAGGTACAAGTTTGGGTTGTACCATAGAAGGATTTTGAAAAAGTGTAGGTACAACTTAAGGTTGTACCATTAGTATAGGTACAATTTTGAGTTGTACCATAAAGGGATTTATTAGAAAGTGTAGGTACAACTTAAAGTTGTACCATTAGTATAGGTACAATTTTGAGTTGTACCATAAAGGGATTTATTAGAAAGTGTAGGTACAACTAAAAGTTGTACCATTAGTATAGGTACAATTTTGAGTTGTACCATAAAAGAATTTTGAGAAAGTGTAGGTACAACTTAAGGTTGTACCATTAGTATAGGTACAAGTTTGGGTTGTACCATAGAAGGATTTTGAAAAAGTGTAGGTACAACTTAAAGTTGTACCAAGGTATAGGTACAAGTTTGGGTTGTACCATAGACCGATTTTTAGAAAGTGTAGGTACAACTTAAAGTTGTACCATGGTATAGGTACAAGTTTGGGTTGTACCATAGAAGGATTTTGAGAAAGTGTAGGTACAACTAAAAGTTGTACCATTAGTATAGGTACAATTTTGAGTTGTACCATAGAGGGATTTGTTAGAAAGTGTAGGTACAACATTAAGTTGTACTATAGTGTATAGGTACAATTTTTAATTGTACCATAGAAGATTTTTAGGAAAGTGTAGGTACAACTTTAAATTTAGTGTAAAGGTACAACTCTAGAAAGTGTAGGTACAATTTTGAGGAAACACGGCTCATCTCACGGCCGTGACATGACCCGTGACAAGCAAAAAGTAGTTTTCCTATCTCCAGACAATCACACGGCTTATTCTCACGCCCGTGAGAATTAACAGATGAGCCGTGAGAGGTACAGCATTCAAATCCAAAACACGGCTCATCTCACGGCCGTGATAACGTCGAAGGCAACCCGTGAAACCCTCTGGGAAACTGAGAAGTGCGTTTTTACATCCACGGCTTATCTCACGTCCTATCTCACGGCCGTGGTATTTCCAGAATTACATATCCAAAACCACGTCTTCTTTCACGGCCGTGGGATTTCCAGAATTGGCCGTGAGATTTCCAGAAATAGTCTGCACAGACATGCACCTGTACAACTAACCCTTGTACTTATTATAATGGTGTAAGTAACATAATATACTGTTTGTGAAAACTACAAGCTTATGAAAAGATGAGTCATAATGTTCTTTGAAGCTTGACACGAGCATTACATAGATCCTTCTCTAGTAACTGTACATCATATCAGATGAGATACCCTGTTAACAAAAAGTAAAAAGCAGTCAAAGCTTTACATTTGTCTTATAAAACAAACATCCATAACACGATTAAATTTGTCTAATTAATGCTTAAGTTTAGATGCATGTAGCCCACACTGGTGCACCATAATATTCTAATTGGAAAACATACAAGCACAAAAGCAAACACACATAGCTAAGTACTAAGGACTTTGGTTGGCTCATCTTCACTGCCCATCTTTCTCGTTAGTGTTCTCGTCCTCGTCTTTGTTTTCCTGGATTTGCTCATCTTCATTGTCCTCGCTAGAGTCACTGCTGTCTTCCTCATTGGTCCCTTTGACCTCTTGATTTTTTTCCTTGTTTTGGTCATCGCCATTGCCCTCGTCGTCCTCTTCACTGCTGTCTTCCTCATTGGTCCCTTTGTCCTCTTCAATGCTTTCCTTGTTTTGTTCCTCTCCTTTCTCCTCTTGATTTTTTTCCTTGTTTTGGTCATCGCCATTGCCCTCGTCGTCGTCCTCTTCACTGCTGTCTTCCTCATCGGTCCCTTTGTCCTCTTCAATGCTTTCCTTGTTTTGTTCCTCTCCTTTCTCCTCTTGATTTTTTTCCTTGTTTTGGTCATCGCCATTGCCCTCGTCGTCGTCCTCTTCACTGCTGTCTTCCTCATTGGTGTCACTGTCCTCTTCAATGCTTTCCTTGTTTTGTTCCTCTCCTTTCTCCTCTTGATTTTTTTCCTTGTTTTGGTCATCGTCATTGTCCTCGTCGTCGTCCTCTTCACTGCTGTCTTCCTCATCGGTCCCTTTGACCTCTTCAATGCTTTCCTTGTTTTGTTTCTCTCCTTTCTCCTCTTGATTTTTTTCCTTGTTTTGGTCATCGCCATTGCCCTCGTCGTCGTCCTCTTCACTGCTGTCTTCCTCATTGGTGTCATTGTCCTCTTCACTGCTTTCCTTGTTTTGTTCCTCTCCTTTGTCCTCTTGATTTTTTTCCTTGTTTTGCTCATCGTCATTACCCTCGTCATCCTCTTCACTTCCCTCTTCATTGCTTTCCTCGGTTGGCCTAGGAGATAGTTCCCAAGGTGTTGAGAATTGTTTGTAGTCAATCCTCAAGGACCTCATGATCTGATGGTTGCATTCGATGATGTAGCGTCGAGCTTCCTTCTCTCGATCGAGGCGGGAGAGAATGAGTGCATTTTGCTCCAGAATTTGGGCATTCTGCCGACCCAATGCCTCAAAATGGGATATGTTGCTGTCGGTGGATGGTCCGGCTTGAGTCGTAGTTTGGTGATGTTGTGCAGGTTGTTCCGGAGTCCCCTCGACCATTTGCTGAACAACATGCTCCGATGTGTTTGCCTCATCTGTTGCAAGAGGTCGAGCAGGATGAGGGAGGCCAACAATGCCTACCACACCATTCTCCTTAACCACCAAACACAGACATGATCAATATCAGAAGCATTAGTTACATTTGCTCAATGTTCAAAAGGAACTAGATTAGTAGGCAATCCAAAACTTGCACAAAATCAATCCTAGATTGTTTGAATCCCGACTAGTTATGTTTTAGCATTCACTGTGAAAAGGAAAGTGTTGGTTGGAACATTTACCTTTGACAACAAATTCAGATCCGCAAGGTTTTTTTGGGAGATTGGTTGAGTGGACTGGGCAATGGTGCAATGAGAACCCACCGGATCAATGCCAAAATGCCGAGCTAGCCTTGTGATGTAGGCACCTCCATGGATGGTCTTGATTTGTTTGTTGGAGGTCATCTTCTGTAGGGTTTTCAATATGACTAAACCAAGATGAATTGGGGGATCTTCTTCCATAGAGAGGAAAAAGTTCAAATCCCGCTTGGTCACACTCCCCGGGCTCCCCTCCCTAGCTGCCACAGAATGAGCGATAATGTTGTGGATGATACGCCACGGGGGAAGAAGATCATTCCCTTTATAGTGGGCAGGGTCAGACTTTGCCACATGGTTTTGTTTTACCGTTGTCCACATAGCATCGATCGATGGTGCTCTTGACTGATATATTTTATCTGAAATAAAAACAAGTCCATCTGTGGTGAGAAATCCTGGTGGGTATATCTGGAGTGCCTCTGTGAACTCAGTGATGCTCATCTGTCTCGCCTGTCCTCCAAGGCGAAAAGTTATGTTGTCTTCGGGCTTGTCGAGGTCAAACTCGGACATTCTCTTGATGGAGAGAGTGCTGAGGAGCTCAATGGTAAGC